TTTATTGTAGAAAAATGTCAACCATTTTCTTTTGCTTGCCGCTACTGTCCGCTGAAATGGCGAAGCATAAGAACTGATTACTTTAGGAAAACATAAATGTTGACGAGAAAGAAAAACTAAATAAAGAAAAACCAACCGATGAGTCAGATGCAGAAAATTCAGGTGGTGGCAACAAGGACAGACTTATGTAATTTTTTTTCATTTTTACTGTTACACTAAATCTTTTAGGGAAATTTGACTGTTACCGAAAGAACTTCTAAAGACCAGTGATTGACAAGTTTCGGAAAACGAATAAAACAGTGAAACCAATCATAGCAGGAAAATCAATTTTTAATGGTTTATCTATTGTTTCATAGGATCATGTCCTTCTTTTATTATTGCTAAACCCTCTTCCTTAACTTCTCAAATTACACATTCTTTTCTAAATTTACCGTCTTTACAGTGGTATTGGTTTGTCTTTAATTGCTGGTATATTTTACGGATGTACATTTGTCCCAGTGATTTACATCCAAGACAATGTTTTTGGTGCAAGTCAGAGGGGAACTCCGTATGTGTTTTCACATTCCATGGGAATCTTCCTAACTGCAACTGCGTTGTTCTTCGGATACTGCGTTTTCAAGTATGTTTTCTGATTCCACGTTTTTTTAAACTCTCACTTTTCGATATAGCAGGGTTTACGGTATAATCATCATCCTTTGGATCACAAAAAGGTGGCCAATCTCTTTATGACAGATTATGTACACTTTTGAATTAATCTTTCAAACATCTTTGATTGAATAGGACAGAACTAGATTTCAAATTAAAATACTGAAAAGTTTACTTGAGCAGTTTTGGATTTATTGTAGGATTTATTGTAGTTTTAGATAAAAGCGATTTCACAAACAAGATTTGTAATAAACATCTGTACGAATTTAGAATGCTGTTTGCAACCTAAATAAAATTTTTTTCGTAATAATTACTGAAAATCATTTTTTTACCCCTCAAAAAAAAGTACAGACAGATTTTTCAACAGATAATTATTTTTAAGGTTAAGTCAAATCGTAAAATATTGTTGTGATGAGAATGGGAGCTTACGAGGAAAGAATAAGGGAGAAGTGCAAACTTTTTTCAAAATAAACTTCAAATTTTTGCTGTACAAATGTCATTTCCTTAGCTTTTCATGATTAACCGCTTGGGCGGCTTCTGCAGCAGATCTTCAAAACGCATTGAAAACTTGTAATAAGGTGGCTTGACGCATACTCTGTTCTGTGGTTAAATGGTCCCTCAAAAGTAAAATCTTAAGAAACTAGTATTTTGTAAAATAATCATTTATCTCAAAAAAATTTATATTTGAAGAAAAGTTTAAGAATTACGTTTTCTTTAAAAACAAATGCGTAAGTTTTTTTGCATGTAACTTTTTAAAAAATAATTTCGAAATAAGTAGTAAGTTAAAAATTGAGATTCTTGACCCATTTGGAAGTTTTTCATCTTATTTACTGTTCTCAACCTGTATTCTTCAGATTGACTTGCAATTCGTGGATACTTGAAATCTGTTTTCGCGCCTTAGTGCAGTTTAACTCTACAGCAACTTTACTTTTTTCAGTCTATAACCGAGTTAGCAAAGTTTTAAAAAGCGTGAGCCATCAAACTGAAAACAATTTGTCAAAACAAATCTTTCAGCTAAATATTCAAAAATGAAAAAACGTCCGCCCTTATTCCCGCTTGATTGCAGAAAAAATAAGCCCGTTATTAACAACCAAATTACCCTACCAGCATATATCGCTGGGTTACTTTGGATAGTTGCTCAAACGTCCTTCTTTATCGCGAACGAAAATCTTAGTCAGACGGTTTCGTTCCCAATCATCACTATGATCCCTGGATGCGTGGCTTCGCTATGGAGTATATTCGTATTCAAGGAAATTCGGGTTAGTATAGACTGAGCACTATTCAAATTTGACCACTTTACTAGTCAGCTGAATTTTTTCAATCTTCAAATACATGTTTAAAAAAGCCATTAACGAACTAGGTTTATTGTTGAACGTCCTTGTAGGGAGCTCGAAATCTACGACTACTTGGAATTGCAATTGCGATAACTCTTTGCGGAGCAATGATGGTTGGCTTGTCAAAAAGTTTAACTTTTTAACGGATCTTCATAAGGTGCTTTGAATTAACAGTATGACATTTTAATAGCTGCACAAGAGATAAACAAAACAATCACGGACAAAATTTTATTTCTTAAATTCAGTAGTTTTCAGCGTTTTTACTGCAGGGTTTCTGTTCTTGTTTTTGATCCTTAAAAGCTGTCTAGCTTAATGACATATTGTTAAAAGTTAACTTTATTGAAAAAAACGTAATTTATTATTTGCACTGTAACTGAAACTAAATATATGCTAGAGATAACCTGGGTCTGGCTTGTGACTTTCATAACTATATTAAATGATTGGAAAAGGGCCAAAAAGCAGTTCAATATTAATTTACTAAATATGCGAAATAACTTTTTTGGCAACTTGTGAACCCGTCCCCTCTGAGGTGAGGAGCAACGGTTTAGGTCAGACAAATCAATACGTTGTATTTGGTAGTTCTGAAACTCTAAAACATTCAAAAAGGCTACTTTACTATTCCAGTAATACTGCGTTCTGACCAGAATATATGCATGTTCTGCTATGGCTTCTTTTGGCTTTTTACTTTTGTATGGGATTTAATTGAATACAGTACCAGCTTGCTAAAAAAATACATAACCCATTTTAAAACTTCACAAAACTTCCAAACTTACTCAATAAGAAAATGTTTTTAATGTTAAAATCTTAAGCTAGGATTTCTTATACTTGATTTAAACTCATTGGGGTTAAGAACATTTCTAGTGTTAACTCTAGTGTTAACTTTGGATTTATTTTACCTATACTTTCTTAGTAGTATAAATTTTTTTCTTTATAGCTGGTAGTAAAGATCTTTATTTCAAATGGGCTTCATTAAAAAAATACCGTTTTTTTTTTCACAATAGCTCATGATTAATTTGTGTCGATAGCAATAATAGTAATAGTGGTAACACCAACAAAAAAATAATAATAACAATGATGATGATAATGATAATGACAATAATAATAATACTAATACTAATAATAATACTAATAATAATAATAATATAAATAATAACAATAACAATAATAATAACAATGACAATAACAGCAATAATAATAATAACAATAACAATAATAATAATAGCAATAATAATAATAACAATAATAATA